CGGTCTTGTGATATTGTCTATTCTCGGGCCACTGTCGCTGCGTCGGATCAGTTTCAGTAAGTACCGGAACGCAGAAAAAAGTGGCGGAACCCAAAAGATGAAAATACAGAAGTTCCGGAACTGCGTTCCGCTGCGTTCCGGCCCACTTCAAGCACTGCAGACAGCATGATTGCCATCCTCCTCTTCACGCCAGCACTCCTCCTACGACAGACCTTGCCAGGTTCCTAGCATGCAGAGAACTAGCAACTACAGGCCTCACAAAGTTCAATGACTCACCAGAGAACTTTAGAGCATGGCAGTCCTCATTCTTCAATACAACGCAGTGCTTGTTTGTTGTTGGGCGGGTGCTGCCCGGCGGTCATGGGGCGTGGGGTCTGGGGTGCCGGTGGTGGCGGGGGCTGGCCCTGGGATGGGTGGTTGGCCTCTTCAGTGTGGGCTTGGGTGGAGGGGGTCTGGGGCTCTGGTGCCCGGGGCCTGGCCGTTTCCTCGGTGGGTGCTTTCCTGCGTGGGGGTGGCCTGTGCTCCCTCCGGGGTGCTGCCAGGGGGGGTGGGTCAGTCCATGTCTGGGGGGCCAGCCTGCGCTGTTTGGGGGGTGGCATGTCTCGAGCCCGGGCTGGGCTTTTTGTCGTCGAATGAGTGGGTGACTGAGTGCGGGCTGCCCTTCGGGGTGGGGGCTAGCTCTTGGCGTCGGCACTGCTCCGGGGTGTTGTCGCCGGGGGGCCCCGGGTCCACTCCATCCCATGTCGCGGTGGGGGGCTGGGGTGCCTAATGAGCCAGCTGGTTATCTGGGTCTCTTCTGCCAGGGGGTAGTAAGCTCCCCCCTGGTATCATGAATCCCAGCCCCTCTCCCCCCTCACTCACATAACATGCCACGCACACATGTAGGTCTTGGGGTGGGAATGGGCTGCGCATGCTGCGGTGAGGGGGCCATCCACATGGCCTTACTCGCTGTGTTGCGCAGCCCTCTGCCTTGTTTTAATTGCACTTTAGTCATCACATATCAGTATACACACAGGGCCTTGGGGGGTGGGGGCACTGCTCAGAGGTTGGTGGGTGGGGCCGCTGAGGTGGTCTCACCTCTTCACTGCTGCCCGCCCCTCAATTTTACTTACACCATATACATTGAGGGTCTTGGCGGGGGGGTGATGGGGAGGAGAGCTGTTCGCAAGCAGCGCTCCTCCGCGCTTCCCCCATCAATTTTAAATCCATCTTAAGTTTCTCAACAGTCATACTCATGGCTGTTACCCTCGTGGGGTCGGCTGCCTGTTGCCTCTGGTTCTCTGGGGCTCGTGCCCTTTTGGCTGCGGGGGCTGCTCCTGGGTCCTCCCTCCTCCTCCTGCTGGGGTGGAGACCCGGCTGTCGTGGGGACGTGGGGCCTTGGCTCTTCCGTGCTCTTGGGGGGCTGCGGACGCCTTGGGTCTCCTGGGCCTGTCTCTGCCGGCCTCTGGTTCTCGTGGGGTGTGGTTGCGGCCCCCCACCCTCGCTATCA